CAATCCGTTTTTAAAATTTTATCGTGTAAACCACTAAATATTTTCAATTCAGTGCTGTACATTTAAAAAAAAAATTAAAAAAGTGAATTTTCCTAGACCGGATTCGAACCCGGGACCCGCGGTTGGAAGGGAAAGAGCATCTACACTGAGCCATCAGCGACTTCATTTGTGCGAGTCGTATATCTGTTTCTTAACATACCATGTTTTTCGAAACATTTCAAAAAAAACTTCAACAAAAATATTTAGTAGTCGTGGATAAAGTATAGTATTCTACTCCCGTATAATGGCTATTATCCACTCGGTGATTTAGGCCACTCGCCTGCGGCTCGTGGCCGTAAACTTCACCTCGTGAATAATACCCATCATTATACGCTCGTTGAATAATATACTATTATGTTTATTTTTTAGATACCAAGATAAATATACTAAATATTCTACCCAATAGACTGGTGAATTATATTTAGAATTTTTGCAAAACTCGAGTTATTAGAAAATGTGCCGTTATTTCTCACAGCTATGTAGTTTATGCATCATAGCGCTCCACCAAATTTCACTGTAAATGTCCGGCAGTATCTGAATCAAAGATTGCCTCGTCGATGGATCATTAGAAAAGATAATGTTCCTGTTAACTGGCCTGTACGTTCACCAGACTTAACAACTTGCAACTATTATCTTTGGGGCACTCTGAAAACAACAGTGCATGATTGCACATCTAACACTGAACTGAGTTGTGGAGGCATATCCAAAATGCCATAAATGTTTTAAACTAATGCGTCGTATGTGTGTATCCATATCCAAAAATGAACATGTCGTAGTAAACACTCATTAAGAATTGAATATAGGTGGCAAGATAATGTAGACATTTAAAAAATGTTTTTTTGTACCCAAACCACTCATTTAATCAAAATTCTATAAGAGACCCAAAAACTTCCAAGTAGTATCACCTATCAAATAAAAAATAATTGTCATTATTGCCTGAAAGAGGCAAAGTTATGAACGGATATTATCACCACACATCAATTTTGTGGGAGTTGTGAGTTTTAAAAAACACTCCGGATAACACCAAACTGTGTAGATTGAAAACAAAAGTCCACAGTCCAAAAATAATCAAAATCGATTACGACGTATTCGAGTTATATACAAAATTAAAAAAATTCTCACAAACTTTGAGGCCATTTAGCGGCCATACAAAGTGCTTTCGGATATAGGTGAATTAACCTAAATCTGCTTACTTTAAGTCCACAAACCTGTGGTCTTCCATTGTACATGTTATTCTGGGACAGCCTGTATATGTATCAGGTGTTTTATTTACAAGAAAACCTACGTTTTGGCCTATTACCTACCACCTTTCATGTATGCAAATCTACTCTTTCATGCAATATACAAGATATTAAATAAATTTAAAATATAGTTATTTTATTCCTTATTGCCACTGTAAAATAATGTCAGAATTGATTGTATTTTGTCACATTAATGGACCACCCTGATTCACACTCTGCCAATAGACAGATTGAATTTATGCTTTGCAAAATATTTGAAATAATAATTCATTCTTTGATGTTGCATATGTCACTTTGCTCACTGTTGAACATAAATATTTTACATTTTGTCAAAAATATTTAAAAATTACTTACTAAAATGATAAATATCTGGTGGACCATGAAAATAGTGCCCAATGCCATGTCCGATAAATGCAGGAACTACTCGAAACCCTAGTTGATGTGCTCTACCTTCTATAAATGCTCCTATCGCTCTAAAATATTGTCCTGGTTTGCATATCTCTATGGCTTCGTTTAAGCAAATCTCTGTTGCTCTGACAAGTTCTTTTCCTTCACTGTCAACATTGCCTACGAGAAAAGTCTGGGAACAGTCTCCATGATAACCATTATAAAATACCTTTTATTAAAAAATTATTATTACTAAACACTTTATACTAAATAATTATAAGGAATATACAGTGTATCCACGGATGGAGTTGAAGATAGGTAAAAAGGGAAAACTTTTTCATTTTATGAAAAAAAAGTAATTTTTGTTAAAAAATTCTGTTCTGTTCAAATTTATAAAAATGTAATTTTAGGTAGGACAGCATATACAGGATGTTAATGATACGTAAACTTTAATGGCATATTCTACCGATGAAAATAATCAACTTTTGCCCTGTCTCTTAAAAATATTAGGTATTGAGTTTATTGTTACACATTTAGCAATCAATAGAAAATGGTAAATAGCAACGTAGGTACTTAAGTATCTTCTTATTTGATTTCCCAATTATCTAAAGACCAATAAATTTTATGAATATTTTACAAGAATACTAAGAATATTATGTGCCACAAATTGATTGTACATTTTAAAAACATTTAAAATTATTTAAAAAACCAGTTGTATCAATTCTGTTTTTAAACCACTAGTTAACATGAAACTATCACTTTATTCTGTATATTTTTACACGGGAATGAATTATATATCTCAAAATTAACAAAACTGTCAATACAACATATGTCATGTTAATGAGTTTTACTATCTAATTCAATTGGGAGATCACACAATGAATATTCAATATCTTTGGCTCAACACAGCCAGATAATGCAATAAAATAAAATTAAACGTGTGTGCCGACAAGTGGCTTACAATTTTTTTTTCAAAAAAGGTTCCCTACTCCCCCAACAACTACGGCACTGGAGTGTATTTTGGAATAAGTTATCCATGAAAAAATAGTCCCTACTAAAAAAATTGTCATCCCCCAAATTTTATCACTCAATCTTTTACATCGGTGAAGTTACAGAAAAATTAATATAAAAATTTGCAACTTTTAACACCTTGTATCTCCGTAGAGACTCATCCTATAAAAAATTTTTGTAGGGCAAAACTTGATTATTTTCATATAATATGCCACTATAGTTTGACAAAATTTATCATTAACACCATGTATAGGGTGTCCCCTATTAAGAGATGATTAAAATTGGGACTATTATGAACATTTAAAAAAAAAATTTGCCAAACCGGTCCAGCTGTTATCAAGTGATACGCTTACCAACGAACAGCATTTAATTTTTATTTATATAAATTAAATAAGTCTGTTAAGTGAGAAAAGGACAATATGATATGAAAGCACAAATAAATAAATTTAAACTAATAACCCTAATTAGAAAATAAATATCATTACAAATATAAATAGTAAAAAAAGATTGATTAAAAACGTTAACTATAATAATTGTAGGCCCTGATGTAAAAGGGAATCAGCGCCAATATGTATATTGTTCAGGAAAGGAAAAATAATTTTTAATTTCATCTTTTTTTGCTATAGCATTTGGTTAAACATAACAAAGAATGAGATATATACAGTCTATACAATATTTATTGAGACAGAATTCCAACAAGATCCCTGTGAAATTTTCTTGGAATTAACCACATTCGACGTACAAGGTAGAAAGACATTGACAGCATGGCGTTCACCACAGTAGCTTGCAGTGCATACAGTATTTTGTAGTTACAAAGGTGTGTTTCTTCCGTTCCTTCCTTGGAATTCTATCTTAACAAATATTGTATGGACTGTAAAAGTGTTATTATTGTTATTTTAAAATTTACCTCAGATGAAAGATGTGAAGAATAAGTAACATTCAAAACATTTTTCTGTATACAAAATTATTAGATAATTAGAAGAAATCACACTTTCAGTAAGACAATGATAGAACAAGTAGATCTATCCAGGAAGTAACGAAGCGTAACACTAAACTAGAGCAACTTCCTTCAATTTTTTGCATTGAAAGATCACAGAGAACATGTAAATATCAGAAAATGTACCGTTCCTGGTTTGTGCAGCAAATTTGTAAAGATACTCAATGATTATTGTGATTAATGCATGTGTTAATAGTTTTCTTAAAGCATTAAGTGTGGTGTGATTATGTTTAACGACCATATGCGATTATGTTCAATGTGCTTTTTTTTCCTTATTTTGTATTGTCAGTTGTCCTATACTCTGTGAAGAAAACTTATATAACTTATACAGTGGAGAGATATTTTTTCTAATTTGTTTAGATTTTCTAAAATTCTGGACAAAAAATTGGGCATTTAAACACACTGAAGAGGGGGCTTTTAACCGCAAAAAACCAATGCTCAAAAACCTTATCTGTAGAAATATCATTTTTTTGAAAAATTGACATACTCTTATTCTTGTACCAGAGTACAATTGAAGTGCACAATAGAGTAATACATATTTTTAACATCTGCTATTTTCATTGTGCGATTTTTGGTTAAGCAGAAATAGTTTAAAAAAATAAACCCTAACTGTTCTTTTTGGCACAAAGATATCTATCACAATCACTTAAAACATACCACACAAAAAAAACTTAAACCATGCTACAAATAAATAACTTGAGACAATAGCTAGTGCAAATTAGAAATTATTTGTCACGGTTAAGATACCGGCATAATTTTTTCACTACGTATTCAAGAGGATCAGTGTTTATGGAAAATATAAAAATAAGTAAGGGTTACTTTTATTTACTATTAGTATTAGTATACTGCTAGAGGCATTTTTGTATTCTCTTGTTTACATTAAAAGCAATTATAAGGAAAACTTGAAATTTTCCATACCGTTATATCCACATTAATGATATCTCCATCTTCCAAAGGTCGATCATCTGGTATCCCATGACAAGCAACATTATTTACAGATGTACAAACAGATTTTGGAAAATGCTTATAGTTTAGGGGAGAAGGGTAAGCGCCACACTGTATGCATGTCTCATATACCGAAATGTCTATTTCATCAGTCGTTTGACCTACCTAAAAAAAAAAAGAAGCAAACAAATTTAAATTTTGCAACATGAAAACAATTTTTTCGTAACATAAATTGTTAAGGATTTATTAAGTTAAATGGTTGTTGATAAAATAAAATAATAAATTTATTTACTTAAATTCCAGTCCAGATATTTATAGGTTTCTCAGAAATACTACAAAAATGGTAATATGCTTAATATTAGAAAGATTTTTCAAATAGCTATTAAAATTCACAGTGCATGTGAATGTAAATAATAAACATCAGTTGAAGTTTCTCTTCAAGGTCTGTTACAGGAATTGTAGTTAAATATCAAGACAAATGTAAAGGAAATAATATTTGAGAGGAATTTTCAGAGGAAAAGTTACATCTGTGTAGGTATATGTATCTACTGCTTACACACATATAATCCATAGGGTAAGTTTTTAGTCCTAACTAAGTAATTAACTTTTCTGTGAAATAAATGGTTGGTTTATAAAAAAGTATTAGTCCTAACTTAGCCTTAACTTAACCTTAATCTTAATCCTAAAAATTTAAATGTACAAAATGTAGTGTATAGAAGATAGAAGGTTAAGATTTTTATAAACCGATACATTACATTCTGTACATTTAACTTTTTAGGACTAAGATTAAGGTTAAGTTACGGCTAAGTTAGTACTAATACTTTTTTATAAACCAACCAAAAGTTAAAGTCTAATAAGCAAGATGATTATTAGTAATTTTGTCTAATACAGGCTTCAGTACTTAATATTACTGTCACAGACAAATTTTTAATGAAAATTTAACCAAATTTATCCTATTTTTCTTTAAATTGCCGTTTTATTATTTTTTACCTGTATCTAGTGTCTCTAGCTGAGGTGTTACATTTTAGGAAGATGGTAAAATTTGTGTGCATAAATTACATTCAATAAGCTCCATTTTTTTTTATAAAAATTTGAATGAATCTGGAAAAAAACACTAAAAACGTTACAAAGGTGTCAGGTGTTACAGTCTTTAGTAGAACACTTTGTAGATAGTTTATTTTTGGCATCATCTTTGGTTGGCAGGTCCAGAGTAGTCACAGAATATTTAATACATATGTATATGTAGAGTACCTAATTCTTTGGCTTATATAGTTATATCAACACAAAGATTTTAAATTTGTTTCATGAGCAACAAAAATAAAACATTAAATCATTGCAAGTACATTGTACTTCATAGGTTTCAATTTGGTTAAACACAAATAAGTACCCTAAGGTAAAAAAATTAATGAAAACTAATGACACTCACTGCTTTTTTAGTTTGTATCTAACCTTAATATTTTCCCCAATTTTCTTTAAAATGTTGGCCGCCAACCGACAGGACGCGCGCATTCTTTGAATTTGTTGCTCATTTTTAATATCTGGGTGTTCAATATTTTCTGTGGGTTCCCCTGTAAGGTAATAACTTGGTTTAGGAATGTGGTCTGGAACAAATTTCCTAGGCGAAACCTTTCCAGGTTTCACAATCACGTACTTTCCCAAACTAGGCCTAAAGAAAGGTAAAAATGACGAAATAAATCGTTCATAGATCTTAAAGTGAATAACATTGCGAAACTTACTTTTTCTTTTTCCAATATAAATTACGTACTGATGAAAAAAACTTGCACAAGTTCATAATTCCTGTGTATTGACGTATGTCGTAGCTAAAATGTTACTGATAAAGCACTGTAGCCTTATTTTTTATATTTTTAGGCTTATAAAATTTTACGGTGACAGTGTCACTTGAAATTCCTATAAAGGTTATTTATTTACTTATAAAATAATTACTAATTTTATCAGCATCACTACATAATTTGTAAGTTATTTGGAAATATCCTTACATTCTGCTTTGTTATTAAATTAACCGACCGCTGTTATCTCAGAACTGCCCTGGATTTAAATTTGGATACCTACCTACCTTTCAGGTTTTTTAAAATTTAAAACATAACCTCCTATGAGATATTAATAGTCACTTTAACTAGTTGTGATTTATCTATAATATTTATATCGATTTCATTCGTTTTCAACTCTGAATAATGTCATTCAGTACCTACACCATAAAGTTTTTGGTGCATCTTATTGTGGGGGAATGCAGACAGACAATTTGTTGATGTATCAACGTTGCCACATACATCATACCATACATCGATAAAATAAAATTTAATTTTAATTTAATCGCAGAGGGTGAACCTCAAGTCTCAAGTCATGCTCTGTTCGTAAATCAAACATATAAAATAAAAAAACATTTATTTGAACCTTTCTGAGAGCTCAGTCAAATAAAAACATTATTTACAATTCCTTTTATTTAAGTTTAAGTAAATTGGCGAAAAGCTTAAAATCTGTCTACACTAAATTGGAAAGTTAGTCACTTTAAACTTAAAACTTAAAACAATACGGCTTTTTTCGCGACTGAATATTGGTGAATATCTGACTTTAGTTACTATTTCTATCTCTTTTGATCTTAGTTGTCCTATGGTAGTTTAAATCTCTTCACTCAGTCATACTACACATACTATAACATACGACTTCACTCACAAAAAAAAGCCTTGAATATTGGTGAATATCTGAATTGCAGTTACTATTTCCAAAGTTTACAAAATATTTATTCTGTAAACTTAGCTATTTCTATCTCTCTCGATTTTTTTAGTTTAAATCTCTTTCAGACACTCATACTACACATACTACAACATACGACTTCGCTCGCGAAAAAAGCCTTATAGAAAGCAAGATTAGTATGAATGAATACACAAAATATTGCTTTATAACTATATACATTTTTGTTATTCTTTATTATGCGATTTTTGGTTAATTATTGTGTTAATCTTATATTTATATTATAGTTATAATTTTTTTATTATAGATGTTTAAATAATAGTCTCACTTAATAAGTTTAGCACAAAAACAATAATTTTTAGTAAGTACTTGCTTCCTGATTGAAAAGAAGAAAATTTTGTTATATTACATTCATTTTTTATTACAAAATGCCTGTATAATCTACACTCCAGTGTTAAATGGCACATTTTTACTTACATTTTAACGACGAAGAGGGGATAATGGGTATTTTAAATAAAAATTATAAATAATTTCTTTTTTTTGTATAACTGCTTCTATATAGAATAAGTTTGATTTTGTTTCGTTGGATTCGCGCCGATAGTGATAAAGGCCCTTTCTCACGAATCGAAATTCGGCGAGCAAGTGCCCGTAAATCAATGTGGAAGATGACAAGTCGAGGCCTCGAGTTCATACTTGTGAACTTGTGGTTGGTAGTCAAAGCAGAACAATATGTGTTTATGAAAACCTTCCTTAGAGCATGTAGTATATGCTCTAAGATGAAAACTGACTGGTTGCTCAAATTATTATCTGTGTCTTTGTTATTCTTACGGCTTTAGAGAGAGAGAATGCTGTGTCGAGATTACTACTAGGCAATTTTCGTAAACCCCTAATGACAGCTGGATCTATGGGTGACTGCCTCATCTAATTTCGCGCCGTGGGAAGGCGAATATAAACGTCGAGGAAGATTTCTCATTCAACGATATAAATAAGCTTTAGGGCGCCTTCCCACGACGCGAAATTTAGCCTATAAATCATTGTTTTTACTTTGACTCGGCCAGAATCAGCGTAAACTACAAACTTCGTTTTGTCTTTGCCATCCGGTAAATGGATTTAAGTATAGGTGATTTGCTCACCAAACCTCGCGTTGTGGGAAGGAGTCTTTGTATAGAGATCTGACGAAGAAAAATTGACAATGGCATCATAGCTTTTCAGCGGCGTCGTGTAGACGGCACCTCCGCCGTGGTCACGTGATGTAACTGAAGGCGGCGACGGAACTTGTGAAAAAAATGTTTTACTGTTAACTGTTAAGTAAATCTCGAAGTTATGTTTATAAAGCGATTCCTGGGGATCATAGTTCATATTCAGTCGGGAGGTGATACTGATAAAAGTTCGACATTCGAGTAGAGATGTGTCTCAGCTGATAGATGGCAATTATTCCGCAAACAATTTGGCTGTGTAAATTCGCATCGTGCCTGACGTTATACTCAAAATATCTACACTTGGTCAGTAGCCTTCTTATAATTTTGGGAGTATTATCGTACCTTTGTTTATGTATTTTATTTTTAAATAATTGATCAGAGCAAAAAGGTTCTCACCCTCAATTTTTGTTTATTTAAAAATCAATAACAAAGTCTTGTTTACAAACAGAAGGAAATTTTCCCAAATCTAAATTTAAAATCTTAATTTACACTTAATATTGTCTTTTGTCTGCAGATGAATTATGAATAAAAATATACCTATAAAAAATTATGGAGAAATTAAACATTCTAACTCTGGTGTGTTCCTTGCTACTTATTGAGGTTTTTACTGAAAACCCAGATGATTACATCTTCTGTGCCAATTCCAAAGGATCTATTGCACATATAGCTGAAGATGGTGGTCCAGAAAATATACCGATGGAAGTTTTCCAGAAATGTAAAAGTAAATATTGCTACACGCTTTGGCAGGAACTTACCAATGGAAGCTGGCATGTTATGGCACAGGGTGAGTCTTGAACCATTGCAACACAATTCAGAAATTAATAATTAATTTGTGTAGTAACAACTAACAATTAGAAAATGACATAAGAGTACTATTAAAATTATTTGATTAATAATAAGATATGATGATCATTAGTTGACTTGATAAAATGTTTCATAGGTATGTACTATTATTAAATTATTAGTAAGTAGGTATACATGGGGTATACCTACACTCTGTAACTGATTGATATCAAATTTGACATCAAGGGGTAAATCTTGATTATTTTGGTCAAACCGATTTAGTCTCGGATTTAGTCAAACTAGATTAAAATAATAATTTTTAGGTAGGTACTCTAAGAGTTGCTCCAAAAAAATTGATAATTTGGACATATAGATAGACCTTAGATTTGGTTGCCTGACAATATTAATTTATTTATAAGATATTTACAGCACAATCTTTTAGACATATTTCCCTTATATAGCGATATACACATCAAACTTTATATTACTATAATTGTAAAAATATATTCCCAAAAGGCCTTTTTTTACATTGTTGTCAGTGTATGTGATTCTATTTTCATCCTTTAATTCAGGTGTTTTTGAGTAAAATTATCCAATATGAGTGGTTGAAAATAGGAATTTTTATAGGAATACGATTTTAATCACTATTTATCAGATTTGTGGCAAGTTAATATCAAAACGAAGAATTTTTTATGAAATTTTTAAGACGAACTAAAAAAATCTACCGAATAGTCGAAAACTGATACAGTGACCTTACCTCAAATATCATCCATTCTGCACCTGCAAAATGCAAAATAATAAAGCAAAATGCCAACTATTTACGAAAAAAATATGAAATTTATGAAAAAAACGATTAATACTTGAACATTTTTTATTATAACCTTAAATATGACATGAGCTGTCAAATTCAGGAAGGACAATGCATATAAGAATAAGAAAGTTTCATCATATTAATGTTAAATAGCATTTGTAAATAAATTAGTCTGATTTAATTATCATACAAGAGAGTTAATTTAAAAGATAACAGTCTGACCTAACTGAATCTCTGACAGAAAATTTATTGAATAGAAAAATAAAAAATTATACATAATTAATACATTACAGGGTAACTGTAGATTGTGGACATAAAAAAAGGATTTAGTTTTACAGTGTATAGGACGTTAAAAGTTTGATAGATTCAAATTTATTCCATAATTTAGACACCTTTACTGATAAAGGCATAAAATGTTGGAATAGGGAATTTTTGATAATGAAAAACCCAAGTTTAAACATAAAAATAAAACACACTACAAAAAAGAGACAACTTCCAAATCCAAAGCCAAAAGCTGTATGGAAAGGGACTACATTTAAAACACCAATTATGCATCGACATTGCCTGTGCCAACACCAGAGATTGAACCCGGATCAGAATAGGAAGTCTGGCCGAGAAATGCTTACCTCCGCATGCTCTACCGACTACGCTACTGTGGTGTTTGAGCTTAATTTTTCAGTATCATAACATTTTTATGCAAATAAGCCCTCTCCGGATTTTGAATATATAACTTGATAGGCTGATTATTTTTAAGAGAAAAAAGGTATACTTGTTTGATATCATTAAACTGTTTCAGTTTTGAGATATTCCCACTTTAATGATCGAATGACAGCAGGTGCATTTCATCCATTGAATACCATTGATTAAACAGGGTTCTTCACTGTAAGTGGCCTGTTAAACATTCAGAGAAACTGAAGACAATATGACTCTGAAATTTTGTTTACGAAGATTATCAGATATGCTCTCTTCAATGAAAATAATGCCATCAACATAGCACTTCCGGTTATACCGGAAGTAGCTGTCAACTTCGCGATTTTAAATGGAACATCCTATATATCATTCCATTTTCGATAAGATAGAATAAAGATATGTCAAAAACTCTAAAGCTTCACTATACCTAAATCTAACCGTTTTCAAGATAATTGACATTTTATAAAAATTTTGACAGATATGTAACCGTTTCGAAAACTCCTTTATGTTTTTTTGTTCTGGAAACTTTCACCTGCTTTTCAGAACACAAAAAGAACATAACATGCACTACCTTCCACTATCAAGATTACCTGAAGAAAATGATACCAAGTGTCCCATTTTTATGTTACATTTTGAAAACTTAAAACTGACAAAACTTTTTAAATTCAAATGGAACACCCTGTATTTTTTTGTTCCACATATAGAAAATTAAATTCTCTTTTCACCGATATAGGCATTGTAGGGGTTACAGTTCCAATTTTCTCAGATATTTACATTTTTCTTACATTCTAGTATACTCAAGGCTAATATTATTGTGGCACTAACATAAGAAGGTTTTGTTTCTAAGGATTTGTCTTGTGAAGCCGCTAATGAGGATAAATAAAATGAAGACCTTATTTATTTATTTTATTTAAACTATGTACACTCAAAAATGCCTTACTAAAATAAAAATCAACCTAACCTAACTTAACATTTAGTTATAGCTGTTTTACATTGACAATTTATTAATCAATTAATTCATGAAGTCGCTTCATCAAGAAATTGGATAAGTGTAATGCACCAAATCTGCTGTCAAATAACTTCATGAATTTATTCATCAAGTTCTTGACGAATTAGAGCATGTTCTAATTTTCGTCAATTTCTTCGTGAAGTTCGGAAGTACCAACCCAACAGATTTCCAGCCTCAGATCAGTAATGAGGTTATGTTATTGGAATATGTAAATAATTGTGTGGCGTCGTACTAGTTTTGCATTGTTTTTACTGATTTGTTACTTACAAAAACTAATATTTATATAATATGTGTCAGAACGGTACCGCTGTTGTATCACTACAATTATGAGTGGAAAGGTGACATTTTTGAAATTTATTTGCTTCTTTGATTCATTGGTAGAACTGATTCATACGTCAAAAAACTTGACAAAGTCTGTAGCAGTGTAAAACCACACTGTTTACCAATAAATTTGTGAATTAATTCATGAAGAACTTCGTCAATTTATTCATGAATAAATTGTCAATGTAAAACAGCTATTAGGCAGTAATTGAACGGACAAATAAAAACTATATTAAAAAGGTAACCCTGATTCTGTTTTTACAGTTACTAGCATATTAATTTGTAACCAAATATATGACATTTTTTATTAATTTCTTTTTGGAATGAATATACATTTTTTAATAAAAACCTCGTATAATAATAATAATAATAATAATAATAATAATAATAATAATAATAATAATATAAATTTATTCGTGTAAGTCTAATTACAGGATATACAGGGTGTTCGCAAATTTCACCAACAACGTTTAACTGCAGATTCACGACGATAAATAAATACAATATACGAAAAAAAGTTAAATAAAAACCTTTTGATTTTTGAGTTACAGGCCTTCAAAGTTGTCAACAATATAACTATTTTTTTTTATTTTTGACAACTTTGAAGGCCTGTAACTCAAAAACCAAAAATTTTTTATTTAACTTTTTTTTCGTAGATCGGGTTTATTTATCGTCGTGAATGTGCAGTCAAACGTTGTCGGTGAAATTTGCGGATACCCTATATAAAATACTTTCTTTTTCTTAAAAGTGTAGGATTCACTTATGTCTCTGTATTAAATTATTACTCTTCTGTTTTTTATTAAAATAAAATGTAATTCTTTTGAGAACTTTTATTGCTAGTTTTCAATAATTTTACTAATATGTACATAATAGGTGGTGGTTTTCTATAATGTCCACCCACCTTAACTTATTTATTTGGGGCGTAACATTTTGTAAAAAATGTGAGCTTATAGGATTTTTTCTGTACTTTTTGCACAGGTATTTGAAAATTGATCAAACATATTAGTATACAGGGTAGATCAAAAAGTATAATTTTTTAAATGGAACACCCTATATCTGAATTAATTTATTGATTCTTTGTTTAATTCTAAACATTTTTTATATAACATGTCATACTCAAAGTCAACGGTATTTAAAATCCTGTTAGCATATAAAATTTGAAATTTAAAATTTTAAGTTCTTATCTAGTAGTCAATGAATAAATCAATAAAAATGACACTGACAGTAACTTCATCAAGTTATTTAAAAAATATATGAGACTTAACTCGAGAAAATCGAAGAATGCACGCTTCTTGCAATAAAACAGATAAAGGGATATTCGAAAAATTTCGACAAACATCAAAATCTAATTTAATATAAAAATGTAAAGTACGTTTTGCTGCAAGTCAAATCCTAGTCATTTATGAGAAAAATGAAAAATTCGATACAAATTAACTTTGTAGTAGTGAAACCGTCCAATTCGGATAGATACTGTGGGCACTTTCAGAGAACAAAGATTCTCCTATAATTATCGATTAAGGACAATAAATCAACATGAAATGCAACTGATATACAGGGTGTTCGTAAATAAGTGCGAAATATTTTATGGGGTGGCTGCCAAATTTATTTTGTGAGAAAAAGTTCATATAAACGTAGGTCGAAATATGCTTCGTTTCCGAGATACAGTGTTTAAATTTAAATTTTTTATTTCATTTAATTATTTCAGTTTTAAAAATATTGAATTGAAATTTTAAAAAACTAGAGGTTAAATGTGCATTTTTTGAGGTGATCCGAATATGTCTACTTGCACCTTTAAATAAAAGATTTACAAAACCTACAATAAAATATGTTTTATTTTTTTCCTCAAAAAAGGTGCATCCTACGAAAAAAATTGAAGAGATCAATTTCATTCAGAATTGATGACGAATTTCTAAAGAAATATCAAAACGAGAAAAAGTCTGTGGCGTACCGTCCATTTTTTTTTATTAAAAGTAGAAATATTTGGATCACCCCAAAAAATGCATATTTATCCCTCCAAAGTGTTTTTTCAAAATTTAAACACTGTATCTAGGAAACGAAGCATATTTCGACCTACATTTATAAGCACTGTTTTTCACAAAATAACTTCGGCAACCATCCCCTAAAATATTTTGCACTTATTTACAAACACCTTGTATAGATAATTAAAAAA